GCGCAATAGCTAAATTCAAAAATCCTTGTTCTTTTGGACTTTTGGTAAGGTCGCCATCAAGGTGCCTTTAGTGCTTTCTTTTTTTCTTAAAATACTTCCTCATTCATGATGTTAGACCAAAGAGAATAGAATCGTCAGTGTTGTACGCAACTGGAATAAAATGAAAGAAATCTTTAGAACAAATTAATTTTTATTTGTATAAAGGAAAATGAATACTTACTTAATGGAAGCGTACATAGAGATTTTTTTCAAGTTATGGAAATCAATAGAATTAATAATGTGAAATGATTAATAGTAGCATTGCTTTCCTACTCAACCTACTCTAGAAATCAGTTTAGTTAATTTCGTCCATTTTCTCTTATTATGAATATTTCTTATTATTTAATTAAAGAATGCCTAACTTATTTAAAATTTCTTAGGGTCCATTCTTCAATTAAATAAGGTCATACATAAGGTGTTCAGGATTCCTGATCAGACATTCCTGATCAGAAGTAAATCTGTGTTGGAATGAGTTCTGTCGTGTTAACATCGGATTGCGTATGGACCAGCAGTGTTCATGGTGTTAACCCGCGTAAAAAGCTCTCGTCTGAGTATAATACGTTCGCGTCGGTATTAGCCAGTTACTAACACAATCCTCAGTTCATAATCCACAGTAGTTAATTCTTACACCTTTCGATACTGATAGGAATGCAGTCCAGCTGAATTAACTATTTTCCATGCATGTATTGGTTAATGCTAAAATGTTGAGCTGCCTCATTTGTACTTCGCTGGTGAGCTTGTTCAAAATAAGCCTGCACATCGTCATACAGATTTTGTAAATAGGCTGATCTACCTCCTCCTTGGCTAAAAGACGGCGCAAGGTAAATACCGTGGTCCAGTAATTGCTGATAAGCATTTATCACTGTTCGATAGTTTGTTTGTGGAGCGTTGGGATAGAGTTCTCTATACATACATATAGCGGCACTCGCATTCTCACCAGATAAAAAATAAACACGTAGTATAACCACATACTCCCGAGATGAAAACTGATAAGCTATTACCTCAGTAACAGTAAACAAACAGCAGTCGAAAAAAATGTGCACACGCTTGCGATAACAGTTTGAACTTTCTTTAATGTTTGCGCGGCGCGTGCACACTGCACATGCAAGCGGCGCGGATGTGCGGGGATGCGATCTGGCTTTGGGGTGACTTTACCGGGATTTATCAATGAGCTTATGGCCAGCGTTCCTTTACTACAGCTAGTAGTTACTTATTACGAGTGTAACGCTAGTGAATGATAGTAGCACAATTGTAATAATTTTGATTCAATTGCGGTTTGAGCAATTATTACACTTTTTAATGAATAATTTTGTAAATATTTTTTCCCTTTTGAAATAGTATCAATAGGTACTAAGTGCCTCATTTTTTTTTGTAGTAATTTAAAAGTAATTTTGTAATTTATTACGTTGCTAACAATTTAATGTAAAACAAATGTTCTAATAAACATTTCATTTGAAATTCAATATTAAAAAAATAATCATTACATTACTAAAAATTGTTTTATGAAGTTTCCAAGTTCAATTTTACCGTAGAAATTTCGCAACGAATTAAATTAAATTACGTTTGTTGAAATATTTTTTGACCCTTTCACAGTGCCGGCTGCATAAAACTGTTATTTCTCCTTCACGTATCTGCCCTCAACTGCTGAGAAATTTCTGTCATCTTTCTGCATTTTTGGATAACTGCAATAATACTTTGCTATGACCATATAAACATCATCCACATATTACAAGACTTCATGGTAAACATAGTTGTCAGATTTACAAGTTTGTTATTTTTATCTTAATCGTGAAATACGTATCGCACTAATACTATCCACATATATAAATATAAACGCAACACTTCCCAAATTTGACTGTTAAAATGTATAAGAAACTACTGAATTAACAATACCAAATAATATGCGTAATAATAAATAATATGCGTCTAATGTGTCACCGCCATGTAGGGATGATCGATATTAGAAAAACATCGATGTTGACATCGATGACATCATCATAAGCCCAACATCGATGTCCGATATTTATCGAAAACTGAACATCGATGATTTTTTGCAATAATTTACAAAAAAATAAAATACAGTTAAAATCTTTAGAAATTTATCAAGAAACAACAAATTATTACATATTTCAATATTATTTACCAACTGATTGAAGGAAAACTAATTTTGATAAAGAAGAACCTTTTATATATTGCTTTGTTGATAAAGAGTAGAGCCAACTTTTGTAAACATGTTTGTAAAATATGTTTCGATGAAATTTCGATGTTTTTGGTAATATCGATTAATTGAAATTGATATTAATATTATCAAATAATGCATTGTTCTTGCGTGAGGCCGCGATTGATGATTGATTTTGTTAACATCGATGTTACGTTATTTTTCATATATCAACATCGATGTATAGACATTGATTTTTTTGCTTAAAACATCATTGATTATCAAATATCGATGTTCATCGATCATCCCTATTTTGAAATATGAAATAAAGAAGTGTTAAGTTAGAATCTCTTTCACGAAAGAAGTCCCACGACGTAACTCTTATTCCTTTGTAATAAAAGCGAAAACATTGTGATCCAAGGGACTTCTTTCGTGAGACGCACTTTAGTTAGTTTAGCATAAGTCATCACCAGAGGTCGGAATTAGGTAGAGTTATTTATGTACTTGCATCGAAATGTTGATATTAATGTGGACCTTCCCGGGATTTCTAATGGACAATCCCGTGTGGCCAACAATCTTACAACTAAATAATAATGACAACGTCAGAGATAGACAAATAAAACAAAGATAATTAACATAAAATTTTTATTAGTTTACATTAATTTACAATACAAATTTTGCAACTTTCGACATCCGATGTCATTGATGAAAGTTTGGCAATGTCGTGCGTGCAGTAGTTTAAATTGTGTAATTAAAAAAATCACGGGATTTTTTCTGCTCTTTAAAATTAATCTCGGGATTTGAGTCATGTCATATCCACTTTATTCTTTCGCTGTATAAAATCAGTGTAAGTACATGAATAACTCTACCTAATTCCAACCACTGGTCATCACTCACACATGCGAAGCTATCCGACACCGACAAAAGGAATCTTCTTGAATCTTTACACCTTCAATGAAAAACAAAAGCAGCAAGCAGTTAGTATCGTAATCTTCTAACGGGCAACTTATTTATTTTTAGTCACTGAAGTACGTTATCGGTTAAATTAATTCAAGAGTACAAGTTTACTGGGCAAAGAAATAATAAGCCAAATAAATAATTTATCATACCTGTGTTTTCGATTGCGGTCATTATTATTAATAACAAAATAAAGCAACCTAAATTTACGTATTTCACTTTCGATTCACACTCGTCTTAGTGTCACCAGAATCACGCGAGAGTCTCGTGGCGAGAGAACGAGCCCAACGAGAATAAAGTAACTTATAGGACACCAAAGAGCGCTGAATTTGGCAGATTTATTTTAACTTCCTTGGAAAATGCAAGCAAAGAAAAATCTATTTTTTAGTCCAGTTACTATGGTTACTCCAGTTACGAGTGCAACCTGTGACATCTAGTGTAAAATAGTTGAACTTGATATACGAGATCATCTAGCTAGTACATCTAGAGCACGTTAGACGACCCTAAGAATATATTGATATTTTCTTCATAAACATCGATGTTTGGCAAGAAAACATCGATGTACCAATGTTATCAAAATTAAAACATTGATGACAAAACATCGATTTTTTCTAGCTTAACATCGATCTTTGTTTAACATCGATGAATATCGATCATCCCTACCACCATGACACTTAAAAGAGATACCAGCAGAAAATAAGTAAACAAATCAAAATAAAAAAATAGCCTTGATATTAATTAATACTATATTATAATTGAATGTCAACGAAGTTAATGTAATTATATAATACCTTAAAATTTTGAAATAGTTACCATTAAATTACAGGTGTTTCCACTAAGGTTATTTTAGTTCAATTTTTATGAACTCAAGATGAAAGAACGAGATATATGGCCTCCGTTATGACTTTATCTCTCGGTTAGAGTAAGCTCTGTAGAAGAAACAATGAAAAGTACACTTTAAATGGTAACATTAAAGTTCATTTTCGTAATGACAATTTATCTTTTTAGATATTACTAAGGGTATGTTCCGATATACACTGCGAGCACTGCGCAGTGGTCTTACTGCTGAAAAATCCGTTCCGTTATGGACTGCCAGTACACTGCTACAGTACCCTAGGGAAATTTATGACGTCATAAATTGCCGCCATATTTGTACTGTGAGCACTGGAGATTTCGAGGTAAGGTGCTCGCAGTGCTTTTGATCACGTGATCAGTCGAAACAGAATCAGAAAATGATAAGTTTCTAAATAAACAAAAAAAAATACTTACGTTTATTTATAAGATGGATTTAATTGATAAATAATTTTTTTATACAATTTTCCAATTTTCTTTTGAAAAGAGGGAATCTTTATATTTATATTCACCTTGCATTAACAAATTTGAAAATGGCGCCAAAAAATAGGATTAACAGTATACTGGACTGCGTTCCGTTTTAAAAAGTCACCAGTATAACTAGCTATAAAAGAACGGGCTTCCAGTATACTAAATTGACGTCATACTGTTCAGTGGTCGCAGTGTATATCGGAACATACCCTAAGTCCATGGTCTGTGCCACAAATTATTCACTTTGTTTTCTGTTTATCACATAGGGAAAGATAGTCAGTATAAGGAAAATTCTTTTTGTACAACTGCGTGTGTCATTTACTTACGGTTAGAAGAATAATCTTATTGGTTTTTAAATTCAAATTTTAGTAAGTATTCAATTACTTTGTTTTGTATAATATATTTCAAGTTATAGTAAGTTTTCAAAACGTGTGCATTATGTGGATTAAAAATATTCTACCATAAAAGGAAATCAGTTGTGACATCGAGTGAGAACCCTGCCCTAGTTAACGAAACGAAAAGCAGTTGGCTGAGTTTGCTTGTTGTACACTCATATATGGATGAGTCATGTTCTTGACGACATGGTTGTTGCCCGTTTTAGTTTCATAATTTGACTTGAGCCAGTCAAATTATTTTTACATTTTGGCTTAGTCATTTTAAATATCAATATCGTATAGTAAGTAGTTAGTAACCTCTTGTTCATCCTCGATGTTTGTTGATAAATAACATCTGTTGTGTTTCAACGTAATTTTTTTATACTAATTCTTTTCAGAATCATCATGTCGTCCCGTAAGACAGCCGGCCGCCGTGGGACCAACAAAAAGCGTGCTCAGCGTGCCACTTCCAATGTATTTGCTATGTTTGATCAAGCACAGATTGCAGAGTTCAAAGAGGCATTTAATATGATTGACCAAAACCGAGATGGCTTTGTAGATAAGGATGACCTCCATGACATGCTTGCTTCTCTGGGTATGTATCATGATTTGGCTTTTATGTAGAACTTTGAAATAATGTGAATGGAAATATAATGAAATTCATTTACAGGAAAGAACCCCACTGAGGATTATTTAGAGGGTATGATGAATGAGGCACCTGGTCCAATCAACTTTACTATGTTTTTGACTTTATTTGGTGAGCGACTCCAAGGCACAGACCCTGAAGACGTAATTAAGAATGCTTTTGGGTATAATACATTACTTATTGTTTCTTTGTACTTGATTTCTAATAATATTTTTTATTAATCCACAAACCAAGATTTTATCTTATATATTTTTTTTTGTCAACATTTTAGGTGTTTTGATGAAGAGAATATGGGTGTAATTGCAGAAGAACGTCTCCGTGAACTGCTCACTACCATGGGTGACCGTTTCACTGATGATGACGTAGATGAAATGCTACGTGAAGCACCAATACGAGATGGTCTGTTTGACTACGTAGAGTTCACTCGAATTCTGAAACATGGAGCTAAGGATAAGGATGAGCAATAAGTGAATATTTTGTTAAATGTCTATAGAAGCAGGTTGCATTTTAAAATTTTACATATTTGGAAAACAATCATGAATATAATTTACATACTTCAACTGTTCTTACCCATACACTATAATAAATAATATTTTTTTAAATATACCATTTGTTTATAATAGTTACAGTCGAATGCTAGATCTTTATAAATTAAATTCATATGTAACCTGCTCAAGACAATACAATATACTTAGACTTGAGGTTTACATCTATATATTTGCCAATCAAAATGATTTTTATAACATTGCATTAGGGTTGAGACCAATTTTATGGATTTCATAATTATCTTTTTGGAGGTGCTAATATAAGAATATAGTTTATATAATTGTTGCATTTCAATGGCATCATGCATTTGACGAAATACAATTCCTGGTTTAATTACATTTCTTGAAATTTTTCCTTAGTCAAGCTAATGTCATAATTGGTAATAAAGTATTATTAATCATTCCGGAAATTGATAGGTTGTTTTTAAATCGAGTTTTAGAAAATGAAGTATTACATTTGTAGACCACAAGATATGTTGTTTAATAAATTATGAAATTCTGCCATATTCATTTGTTTTCAGTAAAGATACATCAGATTCAGTTATATTTCATCTATCTGATTACTTCTATGTTAATGTTTTACTGAAAATTAATGAACAGTTTGTATAATTTGTATAAGTAATTAGTATTGTGCCTGGTTTTTGTGTATTAATTAGTTGCATAATCGATATATGTATTTATTACAAAATTTTACTTAATATTTGTTTTTATTTTAATTAGTAACATGCAATCCATAATTTATTGTAGTTATGTAAATTGATGAGTTTGGTTTGGATGTTATCAACTTAGACATTTATCATAAATTTATCCACCTAACAACATGCAAAAATAGTAAGATGTCATATCCTATGGCTAGAACATGTGGCCTAGAATCAAGGTCAAAAAGTCACTATAAAGATTATTTAACAGTCAGTTACCAAATAGGGATCAATAGAAAAATTACGTAGTAGAGCGATAAACGATAGCGTTACAGCTTAATCTCAGTACTAATAAAGAATTCCAAAAACATATTCCGGACATCTTGTAGTCCTTTATTCAGCAGCGATAAATGGCCGAATTACATACTTTTAGAGAGAATTAGGTAATAAGGTCGGCCTGGCTGGCAGCGACACGCTTACAACATTTAGAACCTTTTGAAATATCAACTCAATTTAGCACGAGTTCATAAAATATTGAATCGACATCCTGGGAGTGTTCACCACTCTATGAACCATGAAGTGGATTAATTTACTCAAAATAATCTCGACAACCAGAAAGTATTTTACAGTACTATTCCAGGAAAATTAATTAAAGTACTTATCAGTTCGGGAATCGAACCCACTGTCTAATTTTAAATTTAATGATATGAAACCTTTTTAATTTGACATTTGTAGTCTTAATTAGGTCTTAATAAAGACCTAGGAGTTAATGGTAACAAAGTAAACATGATGTACCCATTGCCGAATTAATCCAGGACGGGGCCCGTAGCTAATCCCATCCCCCTAAACAGAAAAGTAATTTGTGACTTAAAAATATGATTAGTTAGATGCGTGGCTTATTTTATTAAGGGACTGCAGTTTTGAGGGGCCTCCAAATGCCCCTCAGAACCAGAGGTCCGGTACGCACTGCCCCCTACCACCGGGCGGAGGGTAACCGCCATAGCTCTGAACCATAGCGAGGCTCCCAATTGCGCGGGGCCCCCAAATCACGCGAGGCTCGTAGCATTTGCTAATCTGCTACGTGGCTAATCCGGCCCTGGATGGCTATGTTGTGATTTATTAGAATCGAACTAGTGAGAATTTTTTTCCCATTAGTTCGACCGTCGTACTTCTGAGAATGTTTTTCCCATTAGTTCGAAAGTCGTACTAATTTAGATTTCAAAAATAGTTCTATTATATTTAAGTGTTTTAATGATTTCGTAATACATAAATTAAAAACCGCTTGTTTAAACAAATTAGTGTTGGGCATTTTTTTAGAAACTAACTACTTAGCGCATTTTTTCTAAAAAATGCCCAACACTAATTTGTCCACAAGTTAATGAGGAAGTACTTAAAAAATATATTAGTTCCCGAAATCAAACTAGATGTCGCTACCCTACGTTCTTGATTTCTCCATGACAACCTATCCGGTTTTCTTTCAAGTTTAAAAGTAAATTAGTTTTCAAAACTCAATAAACTACTCATTTTCTATTTGTATCTTTTCGTATTTGTATTGATATCTAAGTTTCGAACTTTTCAAATTTCAGTTTTTTAATATGCTAGTTAAAAGGAACGGAGATGACTGTATTTAGTCCATTCGTTTCCTGCAAAAATCAACTTTTGCTAGAGTCGCCATCTAGTGGAGGTGCTATTTTAGTGCTTTCGTTTTTTTTTAATACTTCCTCATTGCATTTGAACGTCAATAATATGGTCGTCATTTATTAAATCAATTTTCCTCCTTTTATAGCAAAATTATTCTTCTGTTCCGTTTGTCTTTACTTTAACACGGTGTTTTCGTCTTGCGCCACAAGCTATTTTTAAATCTTAATTAGTCGACGGTCGAACTAATGGGAAAAAACATTCTTACAAATTCGATGGTCGAACTAATGGGAAAAAACATTATCAGAAGTACGACGGTCGAACTAATGGGAAAAAAAAATCTCACTAGTCCAATGATCGAACTAGTGAGAACATAGCCCTGGAGGTACCTATAAATCAAGCAACGATAGGGACAATTTTACGCATCTAAACAAGTGAAAGTTAAACTAAAAACATCAAATAATGACGAATGTATCCAAGAGGAAGTTCAATTTCCGAAGAATAACCCCCATATTTTTAAAATTCCCCATTGTATTATTTTTATTAGTATTACGGTAATGATAATCATAATATACTTTTTTCGAATCCTTGTATGAGCCCTTTAATTTGATACCCATATTGTAATACTAGTACTACCGCCGCCAGCGACTTCGTCCGCGTTTTCCATTATTTCTTCGCTCCTAATAGTTGCAGCGTGATGTTATATAGCCTAAAGCCTTCCTCGATAAATGGTTTATTCAACACAAAAATATTTTTTCAATTCGAACCAGTAGTTCCTGAGATTAGCGCGTTCAAACAAACAAATAAACTCTTCAGCTTTATATTATTAGTATAGATTTGAAGGAAACTTCACACAGCCGCCATATTGGATTATTTTGACGTTATTTATCAAGAATACTTGAGCTACTTAGACAAATCTAACGATACCTCTATTATGTAAATCCGTTTAGCGTTTCCGAAGATATGAATATTACATACCTACATACAAGATACGCGTGAAACACATAGCCCTTCCTTTGCAGTCGGATATAAAAAGTGATATGCGGTCGTTTCCGAAATTGTGAAAAGTGCAAAATTTCAACTTATTCTTAATAACTTAATATTTTTAACGTTTCAAAAGGCAAAAAGTCCTAGTCTTATGAAACTGCTATTATCTAAACGTTAAAAAAACTAAAATCAGAGACCAAAACCTGTTTAAGTGACGTTTAAGTATAGTTTGAGACGTGCTTAATTTTAAATTCTCAATTCAGAAACCGGGTGATAGGCCATAAATAATTTACGCTAGCAAGTTACGGGCAAATAGCTAGTTTATAATATTAGTCATATATTGCTTAAGGTGTTTAATTTTGAGGAACAAGGCCCCTTGTTATTGTATCATGTTATTATTACTTTAATTAATTTGTTACGTTAATGAGGTCCCTGTCAACACTTACTGTAATTAGTTTAAAAATAAAACAAACACTTCCTTGGCACATTTTATTTTTAACGCCATTAACTACGTTATATTATAAGATATATTATTTAGGTCACTCATATAAGTAGGTAATATGTACGCGACACAATCTTTAATTTAAAAAGTCTAAATTAGATCACATATTATAATAAAAATAAGTATTTGCATCATATCGTCTTTTTACAGAAATAAAATCTTCGATATATAAAATTAATAAATATTTGGTTTGTATTCCTAATTAAATAAATACTGAAATACAGTTTCAGAAAATTTGATAGACACTTTTTATTAACAAACAACACTTGAATAGATACTCATTGTTTTTTCCCATCACCATTCAGGATTCCAGAATTTATTTGACTGCATGCAACACATAGCAAGCTATAGATATTAAAAATTAATTAAAAGACATTCTCCTACCATAAAAATAAGTGCAACAAAAACCATTTAAGATACAGGCTTTACCACAACATAGTCTTCGTGGGACAGCCTGTATGTAGATTTTTAATAAGACTACATGTGCGTACATGTTATAAATATTTTTAAAAATAATATTAATTAATAAAATCAGATCGTTTGGTGGAAGCTGTTACGTTGACTATACTATTCATTCATTCGATTAATATTATTATTATTTATTAATTATGGGAAGACTAACAGCTAGAACAAATACATAACAATTAAATAGACTGTAGGAAACCATTTACAGGTCCTCACAGACGAAATTATAAATTATTTTTGCAAAAGCTCGACTGTTCCAAAATAAAACACTTAAGAGCCCATCTAGATTATGATTTCTGCGTAAAATGTTCAATTTTGGAGTTCTTGTTTACAGACTCAAAAATATATTAATAATTTAGATTTGCTGAATAGAATAACTCTATTGGTATAATTCATAACGGCGTCGCTTTTTGTAAATTGTGTTTAACTTTTTAATTTAACCCAAATTGTAGAGAAAGATTTTGATACAACGTGTAATGGTACTTTTTTGAGCTGCTTGGAACTAAACAAATAGATTGGTATCTCTTATATAGATGTATAGTTAGTAGTGGTTTTGAAATTTCGAAATATTATTGATTAAATATAGAAAAAATATCTTATAAGCCAAAACACTACGAAAATAGCTTTTATCTCTGAATTTCTCCTACCTACGATAGTAATATTGAACAAAATTTAGACTACAATAATTATTATTTTATAAAGAATTAATACTTCATATTTTTTTTAACATAAATTTATTATACTATTAATATTTATAACAAAAAGGACATAACTACAAAATGCGTTGCACAGGCCATCCGAGCTCAGTCTGTTCTGCCGTGTAGCTACTTTGTTTGGAATAGGGTTCTTAATATGCTATTTTATTAAAAACACTACTTATCCTAATTTTAAGTAGGTATATGTACTTTATCTGAATTTAACTCTTGAATTGACCTACTATGTTTTTTTTGGAATAGTCGATGTATCCCATTATCCTACTTATCAGGAGAGGAAACGTCATCTTAGCGATGTTAAGTTAGATTTTTCTACTTTGACATGTAGGTACTTTAATAACGACGAACCTTAGAGTATTCTATAAGCGACAAATGATTTATAAAGAACGATGATTATGCCATTGATAATAGTGTTACAACTTATTTATTAAATTAATACTAATTTACCACAAGATATTAAAATACAGCTATAACATCGCTAAGATCGGCCACAGAGTTAGGCGGCCTCACTCTTGCTCATCTCTTTGGTAGAAATAATTTCATAATTTGGGAATGGTCAGTAAGACTTTAAACACCACTCGCTTTATGGAAAATCTTTAAATAATTTATAAATAAATGAACACTATTAAAAATCTTTCAGTGGATTAAACCATGTAGCTAGCATACATAATGTGATTTAAATACCTACTGTTTAACTAAAAACTAAGAAAATGTGATTTGTATTGTTCAGCATTATCAGCAAATCAGTTTCAAAAGTCCTAGCTTGTGTCTCGTTTTATAAGAAGAAAAGGCGCTTACCATCACAGACATATCCAATTGATATAATATTGAAAATCGAAGTGACTTTGAGAACTGTATTGTCACTTGTTTATCTTTTGTGTTAAGAAAATATTTTCGATACGTGCGCTAAATATGCAGTGTCACTTACATGAAATAAATTGTTGTTTAGTCGGAATATAAAGCGTGATATTGTTAGTCTTGCTTGGGACATATAGCCTGAAAGCGGAACTGACCCGCCCAATGCAGGACTTGGAGACGCTCGTAACGGAATTGTCATCATATTAGTTTCCTTTTCCAAGAAAGTTTGACTTGAAATTAATGGTAGGGTATGCCCTAGTATTATGATACTCGCTTATGGCCGCTGCCCCTTTTGACCATTAGGCGTTTTAATTAACACAAGCAAATATACTACTTTACTGTAAAAAGTTTTTAAATTGTTACATTAGGGCGAATCTAATATTGTAGATAGCAGTGATCTGTCAAAGTTCACGATTTTGAAAAAGAGGTCATAATCATATAAAATGGCTAATACCGGGTCATCTGCCCTAATGTTTTTAGAAATATTGTTTTCTAATCAACAGGTGGCGCAAATATTGCAATCTAAATAGGATACGCAAAGATTGTTGCGAATATCAGCATCAGCATCCGCTGATTATCAGCATTGTTTTCAATATCAGCATCCGTGTCAGCAACAATGGATCCTGATTTTAATGCTGATATTCAAGTAGTAACGTTCGTTGAAGGCACGGAACCTTTTTTCCTCGTTCTGTGGTTAAAGGCAAGACCGAACGCAACTCACGTGTCGTGTAAATATAAAGAAAGTTTAATAACAAGTTGGTTCGTGCATTTGCTTGTTTTGTCAACCTGATTTGTTTGAAATTGTCAATTACTAAATTCTAGTTGTTTTCCCGCGATTCCGCCTGCGTTAATTACTCGTATCTACTTGACTGTTTTAGGAAAAGTATTTTGAAACTTTCATCATGATCGTATTAAATCACTATCAGATTTAATTTTCTCCAAAAAGTGTTATTAAATAAAGGAAAAACCTATTTTTATTCATTATTTAAATTGTTTCTCGAAAACCGAAAAATGTTTTTTTTTTAATACTTCCTCATTGTGGGTAAATTAGTATTAAAATCATCTAGGAAAAGCGCGGAAAACATTCAAAGTGCCAAGTAATCTTAATTATTTATTACATTTTTTACCGGTTACAAACAAGGGTCAGTTTACTGATTTATTTATTTGTGAGTTTTTCACTGTAAATCCCTTTTGTTTGTATTTTTTTGTACAAAAGGAGGTATATTTATGTAAAAAAAATATATATACGAATAAGCACCCAATACCAATTCCAAATTTATATATAACTGCCAAGTAGGAAAATATACCTCATGTCGGTGAAAGAATTTTGAAATCGGTGTAGTAATTTTAAAGTCTATGCAATACAATGTAAAGAAGCAGCCAATCAAATATTTCGCCTTTATAAGTATATAGATTTGGTGTCAAAATATAATACCAAATTGGCTTATAACTTTGTGGTATATATTTTTATTCAAGTAATTTATTAATATCAGCATTAGCATCCGCTGATATAGGAAAAACCCGCATCAGCAACAACATTAACAGAAAGCGGTACACAACTTTAAGTTAGTACTTAATTTATAGTTATAATAATATAAATAATGTACATATAAATAACTGACCTAGACTTTACTCCAAAAATATTAGGTAAGTAGATAGGCAATTACTGTCGATCATGTTATTATAGTGTAGCGTTGTCATAATCACAATGAAGTGGGTTATTCCCAATATTCCTTTATGTATGCTGCGGCTCGCTCGGCGACCATCATGATGGTTGCTTGGGGGTTGCCTGTCGTTAGCGTCGGCATTGAAGACGCGTCGGCTACTCTCAAATCTGATAAACAATTTCGTATTTAGCAAAGAGTAATAATAACGATATTGATATATATTGCCTATTATATAGAAAACACTTAAAAATCTACTGTCTGAGCCGGCGCGGTATGAAGAGGAGGGGGGACATAAGAGCCACAACACTCTGCCGAAATCGTACATTTGAAATTGAAATATCTTCTGAAAGATTACAAAGTAGAAAAGCAATTAGCTAGTACTTGATTGTTTTGGGAAAAGTATCATAAAGCATTCAAATCACATTCCAAGAAACACGTCAATAATCTCTATCCAAATATAAAGACTGTTGAAAAATATTATTGCTAAGGTGTGTACAAACATGGTTGAGAGCAAACCCTTAATTGGGGGATGAGTCTGCTCTGAACTACTCAATTTAGTATATTTTCTGTTATCAAATATGTTGAATGGACTGTTATTAAACATATTGTGGTTGTTAGGCAACTTTCACAAGGGCCGGTCACAGGAAAGGTGACCAAAAATTTATTATCTCGAGCTCTTCTGTGCTTCGGAAGGCATTAAGGCATTGTTCCCTGCTGCATCTGCAGTCGTCTACACACACCAATCCACACTAAGCCCTTGTGTGAGGTCATGGCCCATTCTCCCTATTCGATTCTTATATCTTATACAGTGCGGATATTGATGAAACATATTGTATATCAGTTTTATAATCGAATTTTATATGATATTGAAATTTGAGAAATAAACTGTTATCTTTGTGCCACATTTCTTACAGAAACATTAAAAAAACTAAAAGTATAATTTAATAAGACCTTTTACATTCTTGACCCTCAGTTGTGTGTCTGTCACTGTGCCAATGGCGGCTGTGCCCAGTTGATGGTTTTGCGGGTCCGTATTCACGCGTGCCATACAATCTATCCACTCGTCCGACCAATCACTAAACTTTGTACACTGTACAGTAGTCTTGCTGTCGAGTTCCAAGCCATATTTGTTTTTTATTGTCTGTAACATAGTTTTTTATGGTTTCATTTAACTTGCCTAGCAAAGAGTTCATATTCACGGACTAGGGGAGGGGGAACCACGCCCCAGGCCTCCATCCTTAAGTAATGCATTTTGTTACCTAAAATGATTAGCAACTATGACCGGTAAATATTTGAAAGTCACTGCATGGAGTTATATTTGTATGTTAATCATATTTTGTTAACAAGGATTGCTGCTGGATTTAAATGCTGGATCATGTTATAGCTATTCGTTACGTTATAAGTTGATGGCTTAGGAGTATAAGAAGCAGTATGAGGAATCAAATTTCCAAAAACGATTTCTTTTTTAATATTATTGTTTCAGATTTCTATAATAAAAGTGCTTTATCTACTTAATTTTAGATCTTATAGCAATGTATGTCATGTTGTGTAATATTATTATTAATTTTAATAATTTTCTATAATGAATCATACATCACTCTCGAAGATTTTTTGTAAATATCTGGCACCGTCCCTGATCATTATTATGTCCTCGTAATGCGAGAAGTAATTAGGGTAAAACAGTGGCTTGTCGAATGGGTTCGTCGAGTTCAGGGTGAGGTATCCCACGCTGCGGGGGAGAAGGATCGCTGCGTTCGCACTGAAAACCGTTGAATCGTTGTATATTTATTCAATATATGTTGCATAAAAAGCGTATATTTGCATTCAATGTATGTTTCATTGAAATACATTATGGGTGTATATCTAATATACACTTATACTAATCATAAAATCGCACAAGTGTGGCCTATAAATATATATAAAAATGGAACCAATAGAATTTCTTTTCTAAATGACGTGAATTCGGATACATGACTGAATTCGAATTCGGGTTCGGATTTTTACATTGCCCTACGTCGGTGCGTCCGCCTAACTCTCTAGCCATAATATATGGCATATACGAATATGTTCGCGATTTCTCGTTTCATTTTACCACTTTGACGTGTACTTTAATAACGGCGAATGTTACCAAAATATGAGTCAAAGTAGTAAAATGAAACTAAATATCGCCATAACATCGCTAAGATGTCGTATCCTACGCCTAGAGGAATAGGCGGTCGATCCGGTCGCTTTTCTTATTTACTTTATTGCATTAAAGACGCAGCACCGGCATAGGAGTATGTTAGGTTAGGTTAGGAAAGTATGGAAAGTCAATAGTGCTTCAACTATAACCCTGATGACACAGTTCTTATTATTAGATCATAAAATAATAATTATATCTGTCGCCAAATATACTCTTTTGTTGAGACTCTATTGAGATAACTGAGGTATACTTACGACACATTTCTTCCTGTGTACCCATCATTACGATATTCACCCACTTCACCAGTTTTAGAACATTCCGCATAAAAGCCGTTAAAGAAGAATTGTAAGTCAGGCTGTTTACGTTCCTTATCTGCTAGGCTTGAATATAATAGTCCTGTTAACTAATAAACAGTATTATTTCGAATATTTACTTTATCTGTGATCTCAAATGAGTGGTTCCCAAGGCGCTTTTTTGAGTCACAGCACAATATTACACGTCAAATCATAAACTTTACCATTTATAATAAAAGTCCAGAAAAACCTATAATCAAGCTATGTTTTAGTCTTCCAAAAATTAACTTCTTGTTACAAAAAATAATTCCGCAGTTATTATTTTTAAATTTTTTGAAATCACCCAAATACGAATTCAAAAGTTAGTAAATAATCAATAAAATGTCTATTATGACAAACCTGTGTAACTCCAGTGCCAGACATAGGTCCATTCCTTTTTAATAAATATTTCGTTAAAACACTCCAATCTAGATCTTCAGTGTTATTTAATTTCGTAAGTACGAAGCTTAAGGTAATGCCATAATGATTTCTTAGGTTCTGTCCAACTGGAAGATCTTCTACTAATGGAATGCCAAATTGCTTCAAAACATTCTTTGGCCCAATGCCAGATAATAATAGAATTTGTGGCGTGTTTAGTGCACCTGCACTTAATATAACCTGAAAGGTAATTGCGGAAGTATTTTGCTGTAAATAACTGCATGCATACCTAACTGTTAAGCTACAGTATCTAGCAACTTCCACTCCACACCCAGTCAGTATCTGCAGGGCCTGTTGTGCCCCGCCTGCACACAAATCAATTTGTTCAAGCAGCAACAACTCTGCTTGAGTAGCTTGGTGGCGTAGTGGATAACCCCCGCGGCCCGCGATCGTGAACAAAAAATCAATCTCTTGAGCTGGTCCGTGTTTCGGAAGGCCCGTTAAGCCGTTGGTTCTGGCTGCATTTGCAGTCGTTAATTCTCCCCATGGCCCATTGAATTTGCAGTCGCTAATACGTCATGGCCCATTCTCCTTAACCATCTATAAGGAAGGCCTAAGCCCCTGCAGTGGGGACGTAAAAGAGCTGTCGATTTAGCAGCATTAACAGGGTGCGACCGCCTAACTCTCTAGCTATCACGACATTTAAATGATGGTATGACGATAGCTCGTTTCATTTTACTACTTTGACATGTGTTTTGGTGGATAAATTTGGAATGGATGACTGAGTTGTTAACGCTGCTGTCGAATCCATAATTATCGATTTTATTATTCATTCGTCGTTATTAAAATTCGTGTCAAAGTAGTAAAATAGGTCTTGCAAAATCATTAATGTGGACTTCGATAGATATCGTATTTGTACTTGAAGTTTGAGCTCTGAGCTCTTAATCTTTAAAACGTAACATATATTTACAAAAAAAAACCAACTTGATCCGTATGCATATATCACAATTTTCGAGAGAAGTAGGTATTATTCGCCCATGATATATGGTTGATATATAGCTTACCTCTTTCGAAGCTCGTACAATTTCCTTTTTTCCGTTTTCGTCTACATATTCTACACCCACAGCCCGGTTCTTTTTTATAATGACTCTCGTTACGTGGGCATTTAGTTTCACACTTAAGTTGGGCCTTTCGGATTGTGGCTTTAGGTATGCCCTGGCCGTAGTATATCTTTGTCCATTTCTGAAATTTTTTCTCATAGTTTTTGTTGCTTAACTTTTTACCAGCAACGAGTTATTTAAAAAGGCATTGTATGAACATATTATGAGAAGGCAGGGATGAAATGAACGTAAACAAGAGGGTAATGGAGTTGGATGGAGAGCAAGAGGACGACCACAGAAAAGTTGGATGGATTGTGTGGATCATGATATGCAAGTGAAGGTAGTGAGCGATGAGATGACAGCTGACAGAGAAGAATGAAAGAAGATTACACACTAAGCTGATCTGACACATCACATAGACTGGGATCATGGCCGGAATCTGATAATAATGAAGTCATTTAAAAAGAGTCTAATTGCCGTCTCTTTTGATGGTTATATACCTACCAAAAGCTACAGAATTTGAACGAAAAGGAAGAGTATTGATTCCTCACTCGTTAAATGTTTGGGCGATGCAGAAGCCCTCCGGTGTGTCGAGGTCGTTCATGTCTTCAATGACTGGCAGACCAGTTTCTTTGATAGCATTCAGGAGCACGTGAGCTGCGAGAGGTGTGTATTCGAACTGTAAATGACGTCATCATAAGAATGTTTAAGTATTATACTGCGTTGTTTAAAATCAATGTTCAGTCAACAGCACGTCATTTTATATAAATATTTTCTAACATAACTTAGGCAAATATAAAAAAGAACTAAATATAAAAAAGAATACTTTAACGTATTATGTATTATGATAATTTATTATAAACCTTTATAAAAAATAAAAATAAATATTTATTGTTGTAGTGTAAGTATAGAACTGTAATGGTGGCAGTTTTGTTGCACAGACTAGACTAGACTAATATGGATTTGATTCAGTCAAATTGCGTCGTTTTTTGTTAAAGTTCCCAGGAGGGTAATAAGATATCATTTACATGACTGCGTAGTAGCGATCGAATGAAAGTTAATATAAAGTTAGAGATTTTGTGAACAATTTAGAGAGTGGCAAAATAGAATTGGCATGAACATCTATAGTTTCCTTTACCATTAACGAATGCTGTGGCAGCTTGTAAATAAAATAACATATAAACATGAGCCACGTATGAAATGTAACTAACATTTTAATATGTATATATTTTGTAAGTTGTCCTAATAAAATTATATAGGGTTATAAAAAACAAAAAACCCGATTGCGTGAAAACAAAAGAAAGAAGTGAAAAGATATATGTAATTACTCTCACAAAAAACTAAAAAGACGAATAGTTTGGAATGTTATTAAGTACTACTGAATAACTGCTCTATTGAAAAAGTTTTAAAATTTATGCACACATAAAACATCATAAATTCAAAAGCAGAATAGATGGACAAATATTCGGGTTCCATGCAAATTATACGGGGCTCTGTTGATTGGTCAAAAAAGAATAAGTCCTGACTGTTGATCCTTCTTTTCTGCTTTTGAATTTATGACCCGTGCCAAATTACAACTTTATAGTACTTATAGTTTTTGAGCTAGACCGCGAACAGACGGACATGGCGAAACTATAATGGGTTCTTTGTAGGGCTACAGAACCCTAAAAAAATAGTCTTTTTTTTTAATTAAATACCTAATCAACGATACCGACGATATTTGACACGGTTGGTCAGTTTTGTTTATCATTTTGACAATATGGCGTCTGGTATTTTGAATACTGTTATGTGTTTAGTAATACTCGCAAGGTTAAGACAAATCGATTGACGTATAAATCATCAAAATTGGCCAAGTCGTTTGGTCTCTACAATTCCATATAGGAGTAAACATACATGCATACATAGACTCATAAACACACTCCTTTGCGTTGCGCAGTCAGGTAAAAAAACTTTCGAAATTTACAACTTGATTTTAAACTAACAAATTTGATTTATTAACATGACGTGCAGTCGGGTGCATCTACACTATAAAAAAAATTCAAGATAGAATAGAAACTGGGTCTAAAATGGGTTAGGAAAATTTTGTTTCAGTAGAATTTTATGAACAACATTTGCAATTATCGCAATGTAATAATAGGTCGGGGAAAAAGTTTCTTCGCATTTTATATGGAAATTCAAAATATTTAAAAAAAGTTTATTTACATTGAACTAAAGTATTTAGATACCATTTTGTTCGATAACTTTTTTGCCATCTAGTAAGTACATGATCTCATTGCTAAAGAAATTATGGGACTCCTGATAAAAAAACCGCGACAAGTGGTTTTGGCAATCCTCGCGTGATGTTAACTTCACTAAAGAATTCTGAAGAGACCGGAGGTGGAAGTCTGAAGCTGCAAGGTCAGGACTGTTCGGCGGATGAATTAACAAATTCTCTTAATTTTTGCTGAGTCGCAAAAATGGGTAAGGTCTAGCGTTATCGTGGTGGAAAACCACACCTCTTCTATTGATTAATTCTGACCGCTTTCTCTCAACGTCTTTCTTTAATCTCATTAGCTGTTTGCAGTAGAGTTCAGAATCGACGGTCCTGATCGGCTACGTCATGCTATATGGGATTTTCTCCGGTTGAGAGTGAGATGTTGTATAACCCGAGAAAAGTGAAATTTGGGTACAGACAAAATGTGTTCGGTTTTGTCGTGCTACGCGTCCTAGAAGCGAATGAATAGAATACGCCTGCTATTTCTCTTGCGCAAGTTATAAATTTAAGCAAAAAGAAACTCGTAGGGTATCATGGTATAGTGATACTCGCAATACCATGATACCCCATGAGTCTTCCTTAACCTAAGCACTTCTTAAACGTGATTCGAGTGTGCCTTGAATTACTAACGTCTAAGACTATTCTGATCAGTTCATAGAGGATAAGAGTATGACAAGTATATAATTACCGTTGGAGAACACAACAAACCTGCTGAACGGGCATGGGTCCTGAACTGGAATGATACTTTGCGCTGACGAGTGTGCCTATTTGTTTGTTGCCCTCAGACATTTCGAAATATGGTAGATTATCTTTCCACGACCAGCCTTCTGCGCCTGCCTGTACCCAGTCATCGTAATCGGCAGGATGACCCCTGTGGTACATCATTCCGTTGAGAAGACTGGTCCCACCTGCCCGATAAATGTAATTAAAATATATGCGCACCCATCTCAAATGCTTACCCTTTACGTAACCGATACTCTATGAGGCTAGGTGGAGTCTGTAGAATATGTTCCATAATATTTATGGTATGTTAATTTCCACCAAAAAGTGCTGTACTTTAAATGTACGTTACCAAGTATTCAGTATACTAACCAAGTCCTTTGCCTCTAGACCACATACAGCCTTTGCCTTCTTGATCCAGACAGTAATCTTCAGGCACTGTGCGGTACTGCCAGTCTAACTTTTCATTCCACCAGAACGTGCGGTAGAAAGAAGGTGGACGCACACCTATAGGCTCTGGACCGCCTGCTTCGATAAGCAATACCTGGGGAAACTCTGGTGACTTAATAGTAATTCGTTCTTTAATTTATATATTTCATGATAATCTAGCTAAATGCAATATTTTAATGAAGATAATATTGTAACGTTAATCATTATAAATTTGTCGAAAATTAGATTGTATTTTTCATGTCGGGCAATAAATAAATGATTTGATGCAAATATGAGTTTCATATTAGTACACAAATATAAGTTATGAGATGTAGTTGAGAGTGTCACTGACTAGGTCACTTACCTTATATTTATCTATTTCGCTTAGTCTTCCTGCGACTATGGATCCAGCTGAGCCTGCACCAACGACTATGAAGTCGTACATTGGTTCGACTTTATCAACTGATTCGATCCTTTCGCAAGGCGTAGCGATTTTACAGCGGCCTTTTAGAAATGCTTCCAGAAGGACCATAAAGTAGATGGTGCCACTGCATATTGGTGAGTTGACGAGTGAGATGCCTTCGTCCACCAGCGGACATTGGCAATCCTATTTATAACAAATATATTATGATTAGCTGTTTTCATAATCAAAGTACACTAAATTAGCTCTTTTAAAATCTCTTTGTATTTATTATATACATACATAAATAGATTTTTTTTTTAAAAACAGAACGTCACAAAATAATTTAAATAAATGTAACCAATAATTTTTCATTGCAATGCAAAAATACTTTTTTTTTCTTAATTAACTGTCTTCAAACTTTATAAAAGTGAGAATTATACCTACTACTAGATTTTTCCACCTTTCCGATTTGGAATAAATGCAAAATTCGCTAAAATATAATATCCTACAGTTTATCGTATTTGGTGAAATGCTTATTTTGTGTTGTTACATAAACAAGAGCACTAATTAAATATAAATGAAGCAGTTGAATAAAAAAATAATTTTGTATATTGGTTAACAATGCGCGGAATAATAAGTGAACGTACAAAAACACATCGCCGTCAAACAAAGAACCTCCCCCAATTTGATTAACGGTAAAAAAATTTCATATATTATAATCGAAGCATGCAGAAAACTATTCAACTTACATCATTGTATGTTTATTCCATAACATCATTATCTACTATATAGGACACCATTATATCAAGTAACAAATAACATTAATAAATAAAATATTTTTGTTCGCGCATGAGTAATGTAAAGTAAATGGAGTAAAATAGAAATGTTTATAAAAAATGAGGGTAACTTTTTGAACAGTGTCAACCAAAGCTAAAACATAGTCGGTTTACTCTGTTTGGCAAAAAAAACTGAGAACAAACAAATATTATTTTTTTTTCACAAACATCTCATTTCGTAAATATTTAATAAGGTTATGTCCTCACATACAGGACAAAAAAATGCTAATGCCACGTGGACGAAGTCGCGGGAAAAGCTAGTATCAGTATCTAAAAATATTAGACAGCATTGCTCAGCTCTCAAACTAAGTGACTAAAATACTTGTATTATGAAAATCTAAAACAATGAATGAAGAAACACACAGACTCGAGACAATATATGTAGAAAGAATAATTTTCTATATTAACCCAGATACTCCGTGCGAACCATTTTGCCATGGCAAAATGCGAATAATTGTGATATCGTTGAGAGAAGCCATTATAAAATTGAAGCCGTGTTAGTGAACTATTATTAAATTATGCCTAAGTCAACATTTATATAAGATTTGCCCTGTTTTACTAATTAACATGAATATAAAAAGCTACCTATGTTTGTCAAATGATTTTCTCGCGTTTGTCAAATGAAAAGCAGACATTTAATTGAAAAAAAAAAATGAGTTATTCACAGAAACTTTAAATAATAACAAGAATACTTTTCAAGTTAAGATTTATGTAACATTATTTTTAAAAAGAAAATTATAAGGTTCCTATTTTCGCCACATAATAGGGCACTCCTGTACCTACATAAGTGAGTCGTGGCTGTGCTGCAAAAAAAACGCCTTTCAACCGCGCTATGTAATGCAATACCCTATTTTTTTTTGCGTCGGGGAAATGCTTTAAACACAGTCCCTGACGTTTGGCCCTTCCCATCTTTATGAAAAGACCTGCCTAGATATCCTTCTAGGTAACTTCACTTTACTTCACTTCATCCCCCGACGTGACGCTGAAACGAGTATAATACCGCATCATGTTCATGTCGCGCCTGGCGAATAGGGACACCGTTCTCCATGGTTACCGTCGATGTGGCGTACCCAGGGCGTTGCCGTGTCTTGCGCGGCACCACATCTGCGGTCCTTAAAGGTCATTGAATGGATTGGTACCCCCCCGCCCCTCTGTTGCCACTGCAACTCTCATGCTAATGAGAGGGAAGGGAACGCGGTGGAAGGCGGGATTGTCGGATGAGACTAACCAGTGAAGAAGTGAAGATTCATGAGGAGTGGATGTGCCAAGCACTTCAAGACCACCAGAGGGACTATTTATTCGAGGGACCTCCGAACCTCGGATTGACCAACCACAATAGGGGTAATCACGACGCCTTCTCCCCGTCCTTCTTCTTCTAAAAAGTCTGCACGAACAACCTCTTCGCGGACTCTCCCAGCGGCCTCTTTCTGCAACATGACGTCCACATAGAAAGAGACCATTTCCCTCCATGACTCCTCGCTGCCATTCACCACGCACGCATTCATCACGTTTGGGTTCCTCCGATGTCGTGACCAGAGTATGACCTCTTGATGTAGTACAGAATCTACTAGAATTGGGCCCCAGGTACTAATGAAACAACCTGAAGATGAGCGCCCCGTGCTACCGAGCCTTCCACTCTTTCAGAACTGGGCGGATTGCCTGCAGGGTACGGACTCCGTACTATGCGAGTTTTTCTGTATTTTAGAGGGGATGAGCTTTTGTACACTGTTATAGTTATAACTATAGGTATAAACAGTGGCCGATTTAGTTGTTTATGGATTTGGCGCTTTGATCGACACGGACCTTCACACTTGGTAATTCTAGTTCACTATCATAATTGATGTCTTAATCATAACGTCCTTCTGTGTTCTGTGATAAAAAATAGGTTCCAGCCGCTCCTACAAATCGGCCAATCAATAGAGTATCTCCTAGAGCAGGGGTTCCCTAACTTATTTGGAATGCGCCCCCTTTCAACCACTAAAAAAAATCACGCCCCCCCCATCCTTTAGTCCAGATTATCAGGTTAAAAGAAAAAAGTATTCAACGTAATAAGTATTTTTATTAATCATTAAAGTAATACAAAAATAACACAAAAGTATTGGTAAGTAGTACCTATTTATTTCCATGAGATGGATGAGCTTGCATGGATTTGACGAGGTTTATAATTCTCGGTTTAACCATAGAAATCGCACAACGCAAATCACTGCCAATGTCAAGTTTATTTCGGTACTTGGTTTTTATTGCGACTACGGCAGAAAATCCCCTTTCGCATAAATATGTACTTGAGAAGGGTAAATACAATTGAAGTGCTTTTTTTGCTATTTTGGGGTAAATTAAAAAAATTTTCACCCAAAATAATGATGGACTCATTTTTTCAAAATCGTATTTGGCTGCAGAACTATTTTTAATGTCCAAGGCTTCCTCTTGAAGTGTTTCTGGCAGAGTATCTACGTTAACATGGAATGGATCCGTCGCCAATCGATAAATGTCATCATCATATGAATTGGGAAAGTAACGACTGAACTCGTCAGTAAGGCATCGCAAATGATTTGATATTTTTTTCTTAGTTTCAGCATCTTGAAAAACATCCATAAAACGCGTTTCTTCTGAAAGACTGTATAATTTAGGAAAATGTACATAATTAGATGGCTCTGCTAATACTTTGCGATCCCAAAGTTGTAACTTTTCAGTAAAAGTCTTGATGGCGTCTCTGTGATAAATTATATTTGAATCTCCGCCTTGAAGTTTCAAGTTCAATGAGTTCAATGAATCAAATATATCTGACAAATAAGCCAGCGCTACTTGGACACTGGGACTTTTGAATTCATTGCATAATTCGCTTTTTTGGTTTTCGAGAAATAGTGTTACTTCATCGCGAAGTTCAAATAATCTTGTCAGCATATTACCCTTTGAGAGCCAGCGCACTTCTGTGTGAAACAATAATGTTTTATGTTCAGTTCCCAAATCTTCACAAAACGCTGTGAAAAGTCGTGTATTTAACGCACTCCTTTTTATAGAATTTACTACTTTGATACAAAGTTTCAACACGTCATTCAGTTCGCTGGGTAGTGTTTTTGCTGCCAATGCTTGACGATGTTAAAACAGTGGATTGCGATTATATTGGGTTGTTTTTCCTTAACAAGTTGTACAAAACCGGAGCGTGAGCCAAGCATTGCAGGAGCGCCATCTGTGCAGACGCCTATCAATTTTTCCCATAAAAGCTCATGTTCAGTGAAGAATTCAGAGACTGCAGCCATCACATCAACTGCTTTTGTTGTTGTAGTTAACTCAGTAGAAAACAACATCTCGTCTTGAATTGTTTCGTTTTGAATATATCGTACGAAAACCAACAACTGAGAGCATTGTGCAACATCTGTACTCTCGTCTAATTGTATTGTAAAAAAGGGCGATTGTTTCACGGCGTCTACAACTTGTTTTTTTATATCCTCTGCCATGTCGTCAATGCGCCGTTTTACTGTGTTGTCAGAAAGTGAAATTTGTTGTAATTTTTGCTTACTTTCTGGTCCAAGAACGATCTCAGCTGCTTTTAACATACATGGTTTGACGAGTGTTTCTCCAATAATATGGCTTTTTTTTTCTTTGGCGATGAGAAACGATAACTCATAAGAAGCTTCAAGTAGCTTTTGGTTTGACTCGGCAAAAGATCCCGTACTGTCCAACTTCATTCGTTTTAAACTTCCAGATTTTGAAGCAAAAAACTCTTTTGGTTTGTCCTTCAAATCGCTGTGTTTTGTCAACAAATGTCTCTCCAGACGAGTGGGCCTTAATGCATCATTGCTCAAAACTTCATAACAGATAACGCACTGTGGATGGTCACCATCATTTTTAGTTAGGCAAACAAAACCGTATTTCAGATAATCGTCATTGTATTTGCGTTTTTTAGTCGAACTCATGTTGTTGAATCAAAATTAATTAGGTACGTGCGTGACTAGCAACAAACAACCGCGCGAAAACAGTTGGCGAGCCGTACTGAGTCAGAAACAAAACAATGGCAGGGTGCGCTGGCGGGACCGTGGCGCGCGGGAGGGGTGCATGCAGGAACGAGCCGTTGAATCCGATATCCGTAACACAAGTGCTTAAGCTACTTATTTCGGAATCAGATCAATTTGTGTGATGTTGTATGATATTTATTTATTGGTCGTATCGAGCAGTCTAGAATGCATTCTCTCAGCAGTCGCGGGTTTTTTTTATACTTAACCACACAGTTAGCTCGCGCCCCCCTTTAAAGGGTTCTACGCCCCCCCTGGGGGGCGCGCCCCACACATTGAAAACCACTGTCCTAGAGTATTCAATATGCGTGCGACTGCCTAACTCTCAAGCCAGGGGGCCAATTCTACTAAATAAATTTTGTTTAAATCGAATCGAAAACGGATCGTAACCGAACGAAATTACAGTTGTTAATGGTTTTTCTATTCTACTAAGTGACATACGATACAATTCCAGCTAAAATAGAACTGGAATTGTATAGTATGTCACTTTGTAGAATAGGAAAACCATTAAAAAGTGTAGTTTCGTTCGGTTACGATCCGTTTTCGAATTGTATTGTAGAATTGGCCCCCTGGACTCCAGCCATAGGATACGACATCTTAGCGAATATAATGACCTTATTTAGTTTAATTTTACTACTTTGAATTTGGGTTGATAAGGATCATTTTGGGATAAATATTGCTAATTTGTCATTGTATTTTCATTCGTTCCAGTTGTAATAAATTTTTATTTCGGGTGATGCCTGGGTAAAAAAAATAAATTCTATTTCGTCTGTCAGTCAGGTAATAAAAAAATATTAGACACATTTTTTATCTCAATTTAACAAGAAATAGCTTAGGTAATAGTTATTAAAGTTGAGGAATGGGGGGCTCGTTACGTCAAAGTTTTGTAGAAAATGTACAAAAGCGTGACGTCATATGAAATTTTAACTCAATGTTATGACAGTAATTAAAAATAAACACGTGTTTCATATTTATCACCACTTGATGGACAAGCAAAAAAATTACATTATCTCTAGTTTTTTGAGCGCTAGGGACTTTTTAATAAATATTTAGACGGAAGATTAATTTTATTAACTAATCAGGAAAAGAAAAAACTATTTTATAAAAAAAAACTTACTCCAGGAGACAGAATCATTTTGTTCTATGTCGTTCACGGCATCTGTGCATCCTAAAATATATTAATTTATTAAATACAAAAATTACACACACAATAAAATTACAGTTTTTTAACAAACATGGTAACTAAAAAACCGTTAATGATACTAGGCCTGATGCAAATCTGACGGAAGGTATAAGATGACGAGGTGCTTATCACGGAAATGTGCATTAGTGGGTACGTACTGTACGCACGAAGGTTTAATGTCATACCAAATATATTTGTTATTGTTAATAAGCTTTGACATTGCGCGACCGACGCATCTTCCGTCAAATATGATGCGACCTTTAGGGAGGACTTAAATGCAGATATTATTTAATATCATTACCTAAGGCGATCCAGGAATCTCAAGTACACACGACTACGACAACATGATTATTTCCTCAATTGATTTTAAACCCTATCTATTTTAAAGCATTGAAGTTTGAAATCAATTGGAGAATTTTGAGAGTTTTGTACAGTCTGATGTACTTTTGACTGTTCCTATTTTGACAGGATTTTGTGGGGTGGATGTATTAAGTTTACTGAACAACTTTTACTATCGGAGCAACACTGAATTCACGAAAAATGTCAGCTTTTCCATACTGTTACCGATTGTAGGTATTACAATTTTGTATTATTATATTTTTTCGTGAAGTCAAAGTTGCTCCCATAGTGAAAATTGTTCAGTATATTAACTCATCCACACCAAGAAATCCTGACAAAATCATATTAGGTACAATTTGTATATAACGGCTTCGTTTTTATGTGGAAATTGAAATGCTGTTGGAGCATTTTCAGATTATTTTTTAATATTAATATTTATTTTTTACAATTTCTTTTCGTATATATTATTAACCCAGAGTTAGTGATTTTTAATTTTATTGCAAAATTACCGAATATACGTGTAAGAATAAATTAAAAAATAAAAATGTGTATTTGACTCTAATTTCTATATTAATTTGTAGGTAAAATTTGAAAGGAGATTGATAATAATAAACAAGTTAAAATTACATATTATCTTAGTTCCTCCTCCTTTTTCTTTCTATAACAAGGTGAATATAAAATTTTGCTAATTAAATTCAACAATGATATCATTAATAATAAAAGTGTAAATAAATTATTATGATTTTATAAACCTACCGTGTTTTGACTGGCAATGCCTCCAGCGTTACTACCGCTTATGCTAGGAAACACAGCCTTTTATCTATTCTGTAGTATCACTTGTAAGCAGTACCTTTCATTATGCCTCTTATCATTCAAACCAGTTTAATACCTATGCTTTCACTGTTATTCTACCGTGACAAACCTTCAGTGTTTAGATATCTTCATAAAACATCAATACGAAATCTACACATATTCAATTAGCATACGCACATATTACCTTTATATTAAGAGTATAACGTAACACAAAGAATGAAAGACAAAAACTTAGTGCGTACTATATTCACTATTAATTATTATGTTTTTTTACTTAAACGTATCATCTTAAGAGACAGAATTAAACAACATATAATAACGAACCACATATACACATTATTTTTTATATTAATCGAATACGTAAAATAAATGGGATTCCTAAGCCTAAACCGCCTTTTAAAATTAAAGATATTGAATTCGTAATCTAAAAATTAATACCGATATTCGCCATATCGTTGAATGTAATGACACAAATTCAACAATTAAATCAATATAAACGAAAATGTTACATTACCGTTATCAACTGAAAAAATATTATACTTTCTACGTATAATATTAAAAATCGTGATAAACTGCATGAGTAAAAAATGCTGACATTACAATAATTATTATCTAAAAACATTGTATGAATTTACGTAATTATATAATAAAAAAGTTACGAATGTCTAATGATTGAAGACAAAAGATTTAACAAACTCGGAAATTAAAAATTAGATACGGAATGTAAATGAAATAAGTAAAAAAAACAATGACAATAACCTTGGCCATCTCCTACAGCCTACAGCTGAGAGAATATCAGATACACTCGATTAGTGTGTATGGAACACTCGTTATTTTGATGAATAGTTAAATTAAAGTAAAACTGAAAATAAACAGCTCTGAACAATTTCGAGATTTCTTCAATTTCTTTAAAAGTTCTTTTAAATTCTACCATGTCCTTTATGGCAAGTGCGCGACTGAGCTATAAAATATAATGCGGAGCAACAGTGCGTACATTGTGTTTAAATCTCTGGAAAATAGAAATAGACAAAAGAAAGTAAACAAATGTCAGACAACTTTAATTAAGGAGAGTCGGGCGTCGCGTCCAGTACCCGAAGAGGTAGGTACTCTAACGTCCGTGCACATTACTATAGGCAGGTTTCCTCTTCGGACAATTTATGGTCAATGATGGCCGTTAATATTTTGAATTACTTATTACTTTTCCGTATTCGAATTCGCGTGTTCGTGTTTTGCATGGATAATCTTTCTTTCTGATCGAAATCGGCTTAGTATATAGAATTTAGTTGTAAGTGATTTAATGTTTTACCAATTGCAAATAAAATCAAGACTAGAGAATTCTACCAGTATTTCATTACACCCAAAAATACTGCTGATCGCACCATAAGAGAGATGAGGTTGGTACCACTTGGTACTCCTTGAATTGTACTTTATTGCACAGTAACACATATACATAAAACATATGTAATTAGAAACATAGATGCAAAAGGTGGCTTTATTGCTAAGGAAGCAATCTCTACCAGGCTACCCTTGGTCAAAAGAAACTATACCGATTGAGT